ATGTCGAAAATCTTCCATGCGTTGTACTGTTTTTCGATGCCCATGTGTAGTCCCCACTGTGCCCGTTGGGAGAATCGTCCTGCTTTTGCAGATGGAGGTCGGTACTGTACCATGCAGCCGAAGACTCGTAACATTTTTGTGCTGCCTAGTTTTCCTGTCCACAGCAGATGCGGTGATGTGTTGTTCGGTAGTGACGACAAAGAAAGCAAGTTGTGCAGCACCACAGCGTGGTCCATTGCTTCTGGCCACTGATGGGTGGGTAGCCGCATGCCACGTAACAGTTTCCGCATGGTGTTCTGGAGGGTCCTGTTCATCCTCTCTGCTACACCCTGCTGTTGATGGGCGTAGGGAAGGGAAATGAGCCGCTTGATTCCTCTCTCTGCCAGATACTGGCTGAACCTTTGTGAGGTGTATTCTCCTCCCCTGTCTGACTGAAAGCTTTTCAGCTTGATGCCCGATTCTCGCTCTGCTACTGGGAACCACGCGACGAACGCTTCGAGCGCCATGTCTTTGCTTGGAAGATTCAGGTGCCAAACGTAACGTGTCGCGGCATCGATGAACGTGATGGTGTAGTTGTACGCGTTCTGCCCCGGCTCGCGATTGTACAGGATGTCACTGTACACCTTCTCGAGTGGCACGTAAGCTGGTGCGCTTGGGTTGTGGTGAGACGCGAACGGTCGATGTGGTAAGTCAGCTTCAGGGCAGGTGAAGCACGTTCCGCGTACTCGTTGAGGTTCTCTTCCGTCGGTCAGTAGGAGTGAGTCCTTGTCGAGTACTCCTGCTCTTATCGTATTGTTTAATACTGTGTTGCTTGGGTGTCCCATCCTTGCGTGCCAGGTGCTTTCGTCGGCGCGATGTCCGGGTGATCGTCGGTACAGATCGGAGTTGGAATAGAAGTTGCCGGTGAAGTTGGCGCTACGATGAACTTCTCGTGGTGCTGGGTGTAGCTGTTGCACAGGTGTCGGTGGTGTGTCGTCAATGAGGGGCGGTGCCGTTGAAGGACCAGCGATTGGTGTTGACGTTCCTGCTGCTGCCGTTGATGGTTCCGCTACTGCCGATGTTGTCTCTGCTGCTGCTGATGTTGTCTCTGCTGCTGCCGATGTTGTCTCTGTTGCTGCCGATGTTGTCTCTGCTGCTGCCGATGTTGTCTCTGCTGCTGCCGATGCTGTCTGAATTGTTGCTAACGCTCTTGTTCTTTCTGCTTCAAGGATGGTGTGTGAGTACCAGAAGCCTTCTGGACTGAAGTCTGGATCAAGGTCTGGAGGGTGTGTCCAGTTGGTGAAGTTAACGATGGCGTCGCTATCAGCAGTGCCAAGATCAGGAACGAAGTCAAGAACGAAGACGTTGTTCTTGAAGACCACCTTGTCGATGTAAAGTCCTCCTCTCCTGTGATACAGCTTGAATTCTTGGGTGGTGCTGTCTGCTTTGAGGTGAATCCCTTTCGCCATTAGCTGACTGACGCTCAGTAAGTTGTAGCCGAGTCCCTCCGTGATTAGTACCCTTGACATCTGCAGTATAACGTTTGTTTCTCTTGACTGAAGTTGAACTAAACCTTGTCGTCGTGTTCGCAGGTTCTGATTGTTGGCGACTGTAATGACAACTTCACGTTAAAGTTGGTGTTCTCGTTGAATGAAGTGTCCCGAGGAGCACATGTGTTGTCCGCAGCAACTGTCCAAGAACCATGTGTCCTTTCCGGATGGTTCGCTTTGGGTAATGGCGGCGTATGTCGGGTTCGGCTGAAGTGACTCGCGGCGGGGTGTGGTTTCGTGGAGTTGTTCTTCCGGTGAGTAGTGTGGTGGTGACTCGGTGATGCAGGAGTCACTCAGCTTTGCCATGCAGCTGACAATGTTTCTTGCTCCTTGTGCAGGTTGTCCCGTTGAAGTCGTTGAGGCTTGAATCCCGGTCGTGGGATTCACTTGCGTTGAGGCGACTTGGCTGCTTGAAGGTCGATGTTGCCGTTGTGGAGTTGTTGACTGTTGACGATTCGGGCAGTGCGTACGCGGGTGTGCTGAAGTTTTGCAGATGTGGCAGAACGGAGGTACTGGCTTCGGTTGTTGCTGCCGGTTGTTGTTGTAGCATCGCTGAGTGTGGAACGCGAATTCCGGTGCTGATGTCTTCTTTTTGTGTCGTTCTTCTTGCAGGTCCATTTCTTGCTGCTCGGCGTGGATTTCGGCGCAGAGCGCTGCTTCGGAGATTCTTCCGTGAGCTCGGAGAATGGCCTTTGTGGCGCGCCATTGAGGACCAAGGCCGCCGATGATGACTGTCATGAAGGCGTCTTCAGAAATCGACCCTCCGCATCGAAGAAGCTTGTCGCGCAACTCACGACATCGAATGATATACGCCATTCCTTTCTCCCCTGGTTTCATTTCGACCGTTGTCAGTTGCACCATTAACCGACTTTGACTTACGCTGTCTGTTGCTTGATACAGGCTCTTCGGGTGGTTGTACGCGAGCTCCGTGGAGTTGCCGTAACCTCGGTAAGACCTTATGTTTTGCTGTTGAGTCGGATGATATTTCTCAGTAGGATCGTGTACGCCATCATTGACTGATAAGTGTACTGCTGCTTCTCGTACTATGTGCCGTTTGTTGGGTATGGCAGAGACCCGTCGAAGAACCCGAGTATCTGCGCGCCTTCCATCATCAGCTCGAACTCGAACGACCAGGTGAAAAAGTCCTTTCCATCGAAGGGTCTTGACGTCTGCATCTTCAGAACGTGTGCGAAATGCGACTGAACTTGTAATGCGTCCAGTGATTTCTCTTGTCCAGGTGAAGGCTGCGGGTGAGGCATAAAGCTGATGGACCCGCGCTCGTACGGAGCAAAGGTAGGCTGCTGTTGTTGATTTCCTCGTGCATATGATGAGCCATCGAGACTCATGGGTGTTGCTCCGTTGTTGTTGCTGTTGTGTGACTGCGCAGGTGCCGATTGCTGGTGTTGCTCGTAGAAGGACATGAAGGAGAAGAACTTCTCCATCATGCTCTGGTCGAAGTCTGCAGGCTGTTTTGCGAGAGTCTCGGTAGATGTTGCTCTGGGTCTTGTTGCCATGCCCTCCTCTGTTTGTAGGCCAGAGGCAGGAGGTGGAGTAGGAGTAGTGCCCTGGGAGCCGTTGGAGTTGCTCCTTTCCTTTTGTGAAGCCATGCTTGTTGATGTTGTCGGTATAGAAGTTGAATTCCCCCTGATAGCTCTCATACCATGTTGGGCAGAGAAAAGCCCTTAGGATCTTTGCAGGCGTGAACTCGGGGTAGGACTTGTTGTAATAGCGGAAGCGTTAAAAGGAGTTGTGAACCATTTTGCGCTAGTATGTGAGGGCAAAGTAGATTAATTAAGACAAGGGAATACAAGATTATATATGAGTACAAGGAATACGAAGAGATGCAGTTACCGTATAACTGTTTTACTATGCTGTTGCGGTTCGATACAGTGACGACTCGGGCAACTGCTCTGTAGCGAGTCAGTTGTGTGTCCTTGCTGTCGCGCTGTATTTGTCAGGTCAAAGGTCGCTGACCTTTGACTTTCGCGTAACCTCCAGCGGTTACTTCAACCTCCGAGGGTTGACTCGCTGGTGCCTCGATATGATTTGCTTCGCTTGTGCCTTGGTGTTTCGACACGACAGAGGCGCTTAAGATTCATTGTTTCCAACACCTATGCGTACATGCCTGTGTTTTCATGCAAGCCAAATGTGGTGGAAGAAAGTATTCAACACTTACGAATAAGTGTTTTAATTATGACGAAATAGTCAAATAAGGACATAGCTTGCACCCAACATCAATACAGCGAGAGAACTTACCCACACACAACAGCTCATCATCACCCGAAACAGTAGCCATCGTCTGTGTGGTTGTTTACCGTACAACGTTTAGGGCACAAAATCACACAACTATTCTTCTACTGGTAGCTTAAGCTGTGCACTGGCAGAAACAGGCCCACCGACCAGCTTGCACACACCACCAATCAATCCACTCTTGCCTAGCCTACTGCTGCCACCACTGCTGCCACCACTGCTGCCGCCACTGCTGCTGTCGCTACAGCTGCCACCACTGCTGCAGCAACTGCTGCTGCCACTGCTTTCACCACTGTTCACAAACCGTCCACCCTATGTGCAGCATGATTAACAACCCCATTCCGGCGGCCTAAGCCATGACAGCTTGGACAAGGCAGTCAGCTGCTGCAGCCCATCATCCGTGATTGTCGTCCCATCCATGACGTGTTAATTATGCGAAGCCCTGTCAGCCTCTCCACGTACACCATGCCAGCATATGTCACTCCCTTGCATCCAGAAAGCTCGAGCACTTCGAGAGAGGACAAAGCTGTCAAGTGCAGCAGACCAATATCAGTCACCTTGGTATTCTGGAGAAGGAGGTTATTGAGACTGGTCAAGGTCCCAATGCCTTCCAAGGCAGTGTCTGAGATGTCTGACCATTGGAGGTCTAGCCAGCCCCACTGTGGCAGCCTGTAGAGGTGCTTGATGCCCTCTAAAATGAACTCTGAGCTGTAGTACAAAGTAACGCTCGTCAGGTGGGTCATGGTGGACGCATGCCTGAGGACGTCGTCTGAGATGCCGCGGAGATAGTCCAGGTTCAAGTAGGTATCTCGTGATGCTGACTTGATTCGGTGGAGGTGATGGGTTAAGAGGGAATGAATGACAAGAAATGAAATGACCATCTTGACAATACCAAACAACGCATGGCCTCTTAAACGATTAAGTCAGCACTTACCTTCCATCCAGCCCTCTCACAGAAGTCACTCTGGCTGATTTCCATCTCAGCAATTTGCCAATTCCTGCAGGCTGCCAAGTCCTCCATGGCACGTGCCCATCCAACTCCTGCACCTCCTTCCTCCTCTCCTCCCTATCTCTTGCCATCTCCGCTCTCGATTCAATCACTCCCTTCCCGATCTCTCCTCTCAGCTCCTTTAGATCTGAGTCTTTTGTTCTCTCAACCATATCCAGTTGCTCCGCCATAGCGCTCTTGTGTTCAACCAACACTCCCTTCACCCCATTCAGCTATCCCGTCAATTCAATCAGCTCCCCCTTCACCGCTATCAACTCTCTCTGCCTCTCCTCCACCACAGTACCAGTCGCCACACACCTCTCGCCCACAATACCTAGTGTACGCCTCAGCTCATTCACCTCATTCCCCAAAATCTGATTCTTCTCCTCCAGAGTCAGCACTCGCTCTTTCTGTCGTCCCACCTCCTCCCTATCTGCCTCAAGCTCCCCTGTCACTGCACTTAGTTCTCTTTTCACTGCTTCCAACTCTCTCCCCCTTTCCTCCACCACAGCAGCAGTAGCCACACTCCTCTCCCCCACAACACCTAGTGCATGCCTCAGTTCATTCACCTCATTCTCCAACACCTCATTCCTCTCCTCCAGCATCACCACTCGCTCATTCTGTCGCGCCACCTCATCTCTAACCACGGCCAGCTCCCCTTTCACTACTGTCATCTCCCCCTTTTCTGCTGTCAGCTCCTCCTTCACTGTTGCCAACTCCTTAGTTGCTGCGGCCAGCTCCCCCCTCACTGCTGCCACCTCCCCTCTCACTAATCCAAACAGCCCTTTCATTGCTTCAGTTATCTCATATGAGCATCGCGTCTCCGTGATTGAAACGCGGCGGAACGACTTTCCTATCTCGGCTAAGCTCTTGGGACGATAAAGATTCATAGATACAACGGATGAAGCCAAACTTAATTGCGACAGAGAAGACAACGGAGAGAAACATAGGGTAGGAGAACAAGATGACTCAGAAAATGAGTGGTGTGATGGAACCAGCCTTACATCAAGCCTGGTTCTAGTTTCGCAGCTTAAAACCTCGTGCTTCTAGGAAAGACCATGGCACAAACACTTGATTTGAGCTCAACACTTGGGTTGGGAGGGAGTAAGAAACGCAACTACTTACAATCGAATAAACTCGATTCAGAAAATAAGTGTGGAGAGAAGGCACACGAACTTCCGCCACTGTCAGTAGAAAGTCGGACGCTGCGAGAGGGATGATTGTGGTGATGAGCACGTAAGGGTTTTGTGTAGATTTCAGGTTGGGCAAGAGTTGTGGGCTTCCAGGCGGGGGTGGAAGGCGAGGCAGAGTGGACAAAAAGAGTGTTGCTTGTCTTGTCCCAAGCAAGAAACGATCGCTCCACAAGGTGAGACACGAGGTGGCGAAGTGGGAAAAGTATTAATTGCGATACTCGCCACTTCTTGTTGGTAAAACAAGGAATACCAAATCAAGGCGAACATTTCTGGCCTAGCCCGCATCTCATGACTGAAGGAGATGCGGGCTAGCACAGCTCTGGCGATAACATCAGATTTGGAAATATCGGTTCTAGAAAATCTGCGTGGGTGTAATGTACCGGCATGAAATTAAACTGGACAGCAATCAGGCACAGACATGTGATCATGGGACCCGCAGAAACGTCAGATTACACGTCACTTTGTTTTCTTGGTATTAACGGAGTCAAGAGCATCGGCGGAAGGAGGAATAGGGTAATGCGGCATGCGAGCCGAAATGAATGGAATGATGGGACGGCCTTACCTCAGGCCTGTTTATAGGGTTTCGTAGGTCAAAACGTCGTGAGACTATGACGCCTTAGAGCTGACACTTGAATGTAAGCTCCGCAATGAGCGTGGACCACTCCAAACGATCTGAGATTTTTATGAATCAGACGTGAGGCGGAGGCTCTTGCGACTCACGGATAGAGACGAACCGATAGAAAACGAGATATTGGAGGGATACTGCGGAATGAATGTCGCGACGCGGGTCGGAAGATCTAAGGTGTTTTTTATTAATAGTGAGCCTGTGATTCGTAGTGCCTCTAATAAGACGGTGATGAGTATGAGTAAGGAATTTTCTCGGCACTCCTTACGGAGTCCGGCTACATCGCGTACAGCACCAACCGTTGTTCGCCCATAACTGCTAACGGGGCTTCGCCAACTTCGTGCGCACTGTTTGCCAAACCTCGCACTGCTGGCCCAGCCGTGTCGGCCTACGCTTCGGGACTAGCCCGAGCCTCGCTGCCAGCGCAGCACTAGCTAGCTCGCACGCATCGCGTTACCGTTTGCATGTTTCACGTATAAATGTTCGCTCATGCCTTTGCTCACATTTTGTACTCATTTGACACCTTCGTGCAATCCTCGATACCTCGATCCATTGCACACGTAACACTTGGTAACACAGCTTCTTTCCTTTCAGACCGCGCATCCCCGCACCCCAGGAAATCAACTTTTGAGTTTTCACTCGAAGGGACTCACGCACCTTAGCCCCTAGGAGCCGCTGTCCTCGCGTTCTCTCGTAAACGCATGCAGCCACGACTGCGCCAAGACTAAGCCGAGCCGATGCCCTTCGCCATGGCTGAACATATCGACATCATCACCCTCACGCAGGACCGTCTGAACGAGCTGCTGCGACAACTTCACGAAAACACGGAGGAAATCGCGGCACTGACGACAGAACGCTCGTCCCTGCAAAATGACCTCACACGGGCACAACAAGCACAATCTCAAGCACCTGGCACTCCAGCACCGCCCGCACCACAAGCATCACAGCACGGAAGTGTGGGGCGACCAGCGAGCGCGGCTAGTGATGGCGTCATCCGCCACGACAAAGACGACGACCACGGCGCGACACACCCCGAGGCGACGAATGCGGCCCCAAATCAACCCCGCGTCACGATTTCGACACCGACCATTGACTCGGCACTGCCGACACCGATGCCGTTGAAGTCGCAGCGTCCGCCATGCTTTGACGTTTAGGCGTGGTTGTTCACGATTAACGTGTTTTTCGACGCCAACTACGTCTCGGAGGATACGGCGAAGATTCGCTACGCCGAATCGCTGCTGCGAGGACCCGCCATGAACTGGTGGCGCGTCATCGTCACGAAGCCGATTGACTACGCGACTCTACCGACACGGGAAGGACAAACCGGACCCTGGTCACCGTCGTATTTCGTGGAGGTGCCCCAATATCGCACGTGGGACGCGTGGTGCGCAGGTCTGCACGCTCGATTTGAGCAAATTGCGGCTTCGATCGCGGCGCGACAAAAGCTCCGCACTTGGCGCCAACTCGGTTCCGTCCAGGATTACACCAGCGGGTTTCTGGCGCTATGCGAGCAGGTGGGCTACATGCATGAGAGCGAGCGCGTCGACCGCTACATCGGTGGCCTGAAGCACGACATCGCTCAGGAAATCCAGCTTCGCGGCGTCACCGACTTTCAGGAGATTCTGGCTATGGCGGAGAAGCTCGATTTCTTCCGCCGACTGAGACAGGGGCCCTACGGAAGCAGCACTAACTGGGGACATCGGTCTCGTGGGACAAACGAGGGCGCTACGATACGTGCCGTCGCCGCGAACGCCGCTGCCGCACCGTTCAAAGGGCGCTGCTTCGTGTGCAATCGGCCGGGACACCGCAAGAGCGAATGCCCGGAAAACGCTAAGGGAAAGGGGGAAGCTGAGCAGCGGAAACATACCAAGCAGCAGGGAAACTCTACTGATAGGTCACGCTGCTCGCCCGACCCAACCGACCCTCACCGAGTAATTGTGCCGGTTCATGCAGTCGACCACACTCGGCCGAATAAGGAGGGTACCGCGGTAGACAGCCCCATACTGCTTAGTGGGAAAATTGGGACAGGCTTAGTTAAAATCTTCGTAGACGGGGGAGCCAGCCACAGCCTCATCAACACTGCCACGACACGAAAACTGAAACTGCCACTGGGCAAATGCTTACCTGAGATCGACGCAAGACTGGTTGACGGCACACCGCTGGCGATACGGGAACGCGTAGACCGGGTTCGGATTCGATGCGTGGGTAACTTCACGTGTAGCCAGGAAATGCTCGCAACGACCTTCGACGGAACCGACATTTTACTCGGTCGGGATTAGCTGCAACGACACAATCCGCGAATCGTCTGTACGACGGGTGATTGCACCGTGCGAGTGAGCGGTAACAACATCGCCTTACCTCGCTGGGGCTCGCCTGAGTCTTCGTCGGTGCGTGTCAACGCGATCACAATGAAGCGCGCCGTAGCGGCAGGAGCTGACGTATATGCGGTTGACATTCGGGAAGCCGAAGCAGCAGACCAGGAGGGGGATTTACAGAAACTGCTTGCCGACGTACCGGATGATTTGGCAGCACTCCCCTGAAGCGGTACAGCGAGATATTTCCAGATGACCTGCCGACGGGACTGCCACCTCAGCGACCGTATGACCACAGGATAGAGATGAAACCTGGGGCACAGCCGACAGTACAGCGATAGTTCCGACTGACCCAACCCGAACTGGACGAACTGAGGAAGCAGCTCGATTACCTGCTCGAGAAGGTGTTCATTCGCCCTAGTTCGTCACCCTTCGCTGCACCGATACTGTTTACGCCGAAGAAAGACGGAGGGTTTCGCATGTGCATCGACTACAGAGCACTGAACAGGGTTACCATAAAATTGCGATATCCCATCCCGCAAGCCAACGAACTGATCGACCAACTGCGTACAGCCCGGGTTTTCTCGAAAATCGACCTTAGAGGGGGTTACCACCAGATTCGCGTCAATCCGCCCGACTGCCCTAAGACCGCATTTCGCACACGCTACGGATCCTTCGAATACACGGTCATGCCCTTCGGACTGACCAACGCCCCCGCCACCTTCCAAATGACGATGAACAAGGCGTTCCGCCCGCTCTTAGATAAGTGCGTCATCGTCTACTTAGACGACATACTGATTTACAGCCCCGACAGAGCACAGCACTTACAGGACATCGAAGCAGTTTTTAAAATACTGAGTGAGAACCGCCTACTGACGAAAGCGTCTAAATGCACATTTCTACAGGACAGACTGGAGTTTTTAGGCCACATTATTTCCCGAAGAAGATTGCGACGATCCCGAAGAAGCGTCTAAGTGTGCATTGTTTTGGCAAGCACCAACGAATCTGACTGAGCTACAGAGTTTCTTGGGGTTCGTCAGCTACGTGCGTCGGTTCGTCCCCGACATGGCGAAGCTGACTGCTTGAGCCCCAGCTGGAGATGGCCGGGCTGATCAACTTTGCCCGAGGAGCCGTGGTGACGCCGGACGACCCCGACCTGCGTGCAGAGTTTCGCGCCGTGCAGCTGTTGACCTTCATGGTCATCTTGCGGTGCTGCTCGCCGGGCGTGCAGATCGCCTTGAAGTGGTGTCGGGAGTACCTCGACGCCGGCCACTGTCAAACTCATATACAATAGTCTGTGTAGGCTGTAGTGGGGTAGCTTGTATGGGGTACAACACTTTAGGGTTTGGTACTTGTACTCCTCATGCTGCTCAATGCAATCATCCTCGTTCCAGTTTTCTCATGGTATCGAGCAGATTCCCTCGTGGGAACTGTTCCTAGGGCCCACCGTTTTTTTTTCCTGCCCGGAGCGCACTCAGCCCCTACCCGAGTCACGCTCCCCTCTCACGGCCCCTAGCGGCCCCGTCGCGCCGCCCTTGCGGCCCCGTCGCGCCGCCCTTGCGGCCCCGTCGCGCCGCCTTCGCGGCCCCGTCGCGTCGCGCCGCCCTCGCGGCCTCGTCGCGCCGCCCTCGCGGCCCCGTCGCGCCGCCCTCGCGGCCCCGTCGCGCCGTCCTTGCGGCCCCTTCGCGCCGCCCTCGCGGCCCCTTCGTGCCGCCCTCGCGACCTCTTCGAGCCGCCCTCGCGGCCCCTTCGCGCCGCCCTCGCGGCCCCGTCGCCCCACCCTCGCGGCCCTGACGCCGCTCTTACCGGCCCCGGCGCCGCCCCTGCTGGCCCCGTCGCCCTACCCTCGCGACCTCGCGGCCCCACCCTCGCGGCCCCGGCGCCGCCCCTTCGTCGCCGTCGCCTGCGACCCCGGCGCCGGTCGCCACCCTTTGTGGCCCCGCCGCTGCCCTCAGCGGCCTCGTCGCCGCCCCACCCGGCCCCGCCACCGTCCCTTCAGCGGCCCTGCCGCCCTTCACGGCCCCGCCGTCACCACCGAGCAGCGGAGCCGCCGAGCCGCCGGCGACGCCTAGCCGCCGTTGCCGCTGTGTCGCCGAGCCGCCGAGCCGGTGTTGCCGCCGAGCCGCCGTTGCCGCCGAGCTGCCGAGCCGCCGAGCCGCCGTTGCCACCGAGCTGACGAGCTGCCGAGCCGCCGTTGCTGCCGTTGTCGCCGAGCCGCCGCTGCCACCGAGCCGCCCGAGCCGCCTTGTCAGCTACACCTGGTCACTCCCGTCGCGGCCCTGTTCCTGCCGGCGAGCCTCGGTCCTTCTCACCTGCCCAGTAAGAGCAGCGCCTCTACCACTGCACTGCCCTTAGCCTGCTGCTCGCGCTGCTAGTCTACTGCTGTCATGGCTACCCCTAGTGTCCTCGCTTTTGACGCTGAGGGTCGGGCCATTGACTTTCACGTCTGGGTAGATGACCTGCAGCTTTTACTACAGTGCGATAGGGCAGACGGTCTCTCCCTCTTTGACCTCACTTCTGGTGCCTCTCCTGCCCCTGCTACTGATGATGACGCCACTGTTCGCTCACAGTGGGCCACACGCGATGCT